CTCGAGACAGGTTGTTTTTTCATTAAAATGGATACCTCAAGCGGCGATATCTCCTTTATTTTTTATGCTATAGGAATAAATAAAAGCAAAATATTTGTTGAAAAAAAGCTACATTTTTGTTGTCTATCATTTTTTACGTATCTTTCATAATTTTAGAGTTATTATATAAATAAGGAAATTTTTTTTGAACAATAAAAAATACGTTTTCAACTTTTACTGTAGGTACATTATTCAGAAAATACGGATTCAAATCGGTCTAACTTCAGGATCGTATGAAAAACACTAAAACAAAACTAATTGTAAAGGGTCTACGATTAATTTTAATTCTGATGGAAATGGTACAGGGTGATTCACTATATTTAGACCCCCTTTTAACTTTTTTGTTTTAAGGGTTATAAAAAAATGTGAAATATAAAAGTTGCACGAGTTTTTATGAATTTTTCGAAAATAATAGTAGAAAAACAAATGAAGTAGAAACAAAATGTCCGCGGATGTTAACTTTGTTAAGTTAAATGGAACACCCTGTATATTTTTACATATTTGGATAAAACGTTTCCTGTCGAGCATAGCCATGTAGGGTTTGTTGGATACATCCCTAACAATAAGCGAGATACTATTAAAAACGAAAATAAGGTTTTTTATTAAGAAAATAAGACATCTTGTTAAACCTTTTTCAGGCATTTCTGCCTTTTTCCAATTACAGATTTAGTTATAATATATTTTGACAGATCGAACATTGATATGGTCCAAAATGCGTATAGGTATTGTAACTAAATCTCACNAGAACGGACAATTCGCGGTGAAGGCGTCCAGGAATCGCGTTCTAGGTATGACGTTGCAACGCGGGAAGAACGTCGCGGCGCTTCGCGCCGCGACGGTCGCCGCTTCGCGGCTCCCGCGAAGAGCCTTAGGTCCGATAAATGGGCCCTTTTCGCGGCCCGGTGTGGGAGCGAGAGGAGATTGCAGATTTTAAAGATATAGAATAACATACTGTCAATCAATAACAACGTTGTCAAGACATTACTATCTGTCACTGTCACGACCTACCATTTAATGTCCATGAGTAATTAGACCTCTCATGGCCTAATTAGTGAGATTTCGTTACATTAGCTATTTTGGACCGTATTATAGTTTAATATAGTATTATTTTCGTAATAAAAAAACCTTCTATTTTTTGTTTTTTAAAAGTATCTTGCTTATTGTTAGAGATGGACCCATCAAGCCCTATGTGGCTATGCCCTATAGGAAACGTTCTATCTAAATATGTAAAAATATACAGGGTGTTCCATTTAACTTAACAAAGTTAACATCCGCGGCCATTTTGTTTGAACTTCATTTGTTTTTCTACTACTATCATTTTCGAAAAATTCATAAAAAATCGTTCAAATTTTATATTTAACATTTTTTTATCTCTTAAAACAAAAAAGTTAAAGGGGGGGTCAAAATATAGTGAATCACCGTACAACATACAGCGTTTACTGCTCATTTTTCCTTAATATGAGCAACTCATCTGTTTTTGACGATAACTCCTTCAATTTTGCTCTAATTAACTTTTATAAGTGCTCTTTTTGAAGGTATTTTTGAGTACTACAAAAAACTCCGGGAGCGTTATACACGCAAAATTAATCCTTTTTCCGTTATTTGACGTTGAATGCATCGATTCGAGTATTCCCCCCAAAACAAGTCCCCTTCCACTAACCATATTTCGCTTTGTATAGGACGTAACATACAACACTTTTGAAATAACGATTTTCTTTGTTTATTTATAAGCTACATTTTTGTTCATTACACTTTTTTAATAAAATGCGTAGTTTTTCAGTTATTCGCGAAAAAATATTTTGAAAAAGTGTTTTTTTCACTCAAAATTCCAAGTTTTTAATCGTGAATAACTAAAAAACTATTGATTTCTCGAAAAAATTCTTCAAATATTTTTTGCTCAAAATTTGATACTCTCGATTTTCACCCCCGAGCTATCTGCCAAAAGTCGATCGGTAAAGTATTTACGAATTATGATTAAAATTAAAATTTTTACTGACTGGCGTTTAATTTAACGAAACTATTAACTACCTATTAAAATATACAGCAACCTGTTATCGAGATACTAATTTTTAAAGCATTAAATCTAAGGAAATCACTGACATCTATCTACGAAATTGTAACTACTTACTTTAAATAATTCGTCAGGCTGATCTTAATCTCATCTCCTCAAATTTAAGATTTATTTCTTTAAAAAAACACTCATTAGCGGCTTAACTAAGCGTATAAGTTACTTCAAAATAGCCCAGGAAAATAAGTACCTAATAAATTGAGCTGAAATTGCACATTTTTACAGTTTGCAATTTAATGAATGCACTGGGAAAATCATAAACGAAACGTTTCCCTCTGATTTGTGGGACTTCACGTGCCGTAATATTTTTGAGCACATTATTTCTTTATTGAAAAATTTCGAAATTACATCTACAGAATTATCAGAAAATAATATTCGTATATCGTGACGATAACGGCAATTAATAATAATTTATTAATGATTATTATTTTTATATACACAGGATATTCTACAGGGTGCTTCAGAATAACGTACCATGAAACACATGGCTTTTTATACCATAAATCCAAAATATAATTAGGTACGTTACAAATTATTTTAGGATAGACTTTAGGCCCCTCTGGGGTTTAATAAGATTTTCTTAATTACTTTTTGGTTCTACACAAAAAATGTAATTTTGTGAAAAGGCGCAAAAATTGAAGGTGGTTCCATTGCTTACTGGCGTATTATTTGTCTTAATTTAATGTTTTAGTTTAAAAAAGTTCTGACCAAAAATATTCCTTGATTGTATAACTCATTAAAATCTAAGCGCAGTATGTCGATCATTTGTGCATATAATTGGCATTCAAATTTTTATAATATAAATGGAAAAATACCCAAAATAACTAGAGGAAAAAATTAAAACCATGACACAAATAAGCATCTTTAGATAATAATATACAATTTTATTATTTAATTTATATAACAACCCTTTACTTTAAATTAACGGACTGGAAAATAGTATGGTGTAACAAAGTATGGATGAGAAAAAAGTTCAAAGGGAGATAAAGTATAGAAAATGATGTTTGACAAACAAATAACATTTTTTTTTATTCTGTGGTCATAATATATAGTCTATTAAATTACACATTTTGATAATTTATATTTTAAAAAGTAATTGGGTGGTGTCGATATGGGAGATTCTCTTAATACCATTTTTAATTAATTACTAGACATCGGAAACTTTGTAGGGAATCAAATATATAAATAGTAGTACTTAATTTATATTATACTAGTAAGCGGTAATATATGTTGTAGTAGCAGAAACAGGTGGTCAAACCGTGTGCCGCTCTATGCTTACGATACACAATGTTGCTGACTGCTATAAAAACACATGTCATACACTCGACCAAGCAAAGCGTCAAACTCGCTCACACGTATAAATGACAATGAAATACACGGCCGACATCAAACTCGCTCACACACGTACAAATGAAAATGAAATATACGGCCAACATCCCTCAGTAAAATAATTGAGCCCCTGTCGGCTGAGCTGTGGCTCAGCCGACAGGGCAGGCATTAGGATGCCGCTAGATACGTATCGAATAAATTGATCTATGCGAAGTTTCAAATCAGAGGCAGACATTGTACCACATTGCAGCCTCCCTGACATTTCCGATATCTATTAATTACATAAGAAATATCCTTATATAACTTAACTGCTTGCTGTTCTGTGATTGCATGAAATTATTATGTCTGGACACAGACAAAGCAGTCCTTTTTTTGGTTAAAAAGTGTCTAAGAATTTAGAATATAGCGTACTATTTAAATTATTATCACTGATAGATGTTACAGAGTGAAACAAATATTCCACTATTTTTTTTTTTTTTTAATAATAAAAACTTTTATTAAAAAGTGTAGTTTAATAATCGTAATACATGAATAAAAATTTAAATATTTTGGGTCATTTCTGAGTTGGCTCCAAAAAAGTTTTTTTTTTAACTTCAACATCCGGTTTACATGGCAAACTTTTTTGATGCTACATCTTCTGAATTTCTTAACACACTGTGAATCATACTGAGACATTGTGTTCTGTAGATATCGGCTTTTTAATAAACATAAATTAGTCTAAATCATAAAAAGTGTTTAAATTAGTTACAAATTTAGAAAGAATGTCGAAGTTTAATTAGTTTCGGATGCCTTTAAATACTCTGCTGATAAGTACTGACAACAGCAGTAGAAAACTAAAATTCTTTCTCTGGAACTATACATTTTAGTGATTTGCAATAAATAAAGTTACATAAAAAATATTTGCGTTTTCTTAAAATTCCTCTAACAAAAAATACATCAAAATTGAATAAAATATGTTCTTAGCAATATACCTACATGCTTTAAATAAAAAAGTAAGATAACTTATATTTATATTTATTATAATAAAATAAATCCTTGAAACCTACCTTAACCTTACCCTTGTCTTTTTTTTGTTTATTTTGATAAGAAGAATTAACTAGAAAGTTGATCATAATATCGATATTATAGCTGGTAAATAAACTTTTTTATCTGGCTCTCGCGGTAAGTATGTACATCCCATAATCACCTAGAACCTAGATAATACCGATACAAATAAGTATGCGTTTCTAACTCGGCCAGAGGTGTCAGAGAATGAGAAAGGTCGGTTAGAAAGAATAAAATGTAGGCACGGCGATTTGAGATAACGGCTACCGTGGTCCAGGCTTGCCGTGACCATTGTTCATTTGTGTGGGGACTATCTCAGTCGCAAACTTATTTGTGTCCGTCTGTACACATAATACTTTTGTTATTTGAGAGTATTTTTTCTAGATTTTTCATTTGTTATTTGTTATTTAGGTATGTAACCATTATTATTACTGGCACCCCTACTTTTGGAGAATTTTCTATTTATTTTGAATTACGAGTATAAACAGTATTATTTTTGATAATGAAGGAAATTACTTACTTGATATTTTCGATCCTCTTCTGAATGTTTCATACAAAGTTTTGGCATCTGGATATAAATAACTGATAAACTTGCCCTCTCTAGCTTCTTTGAAGAATCTGGAGACCCTTATTAAATCTGGTCCCTGCAAAAGAAAGTTTATACATTAATAATCACAGCCCCACAGGAAAAAAAAATCGGATCTAGAATTCATACCCATGTATATTTTTCCGGTGAATCCGAAACTGTCTTCAGATTTGGCCCAACGCAACGTGTCTGAGTTTTCGGGAAAATTAAAAAAACAGGTCAAAATTCACAAAAAAACGTCATTTACGATCGACGAAAGTTATAAAAAGTCAAATTTTTCACTTGTTTAATTCCAATTTATCATCAAAGAGTCAGACAAGCTGGTCTAATTTCATTCAAAAACAGAAAATAGATCAAAAACTCAATTCTCATGGCATAATTCGTGTTGCAGAGTTCTGGATCCATGTTTTTAACCACCCACCCATTTATGAATTCATACATCTTTCTATCCAGTCGTTCATGCATGAATATGCATATTTATCCATCCACCTGTACCACCTATAAAACCCACCCATCCACATCTACTTTTTGTGAGAGATGAGATAACAGCCTAGAAGATTGAGAATGCAATAAAACTTGTGGAATACTGTACTTTCTAAATAAGAGAAAACGATATCTACAAATCATTCTTATTTTCGTTGCTATAACGTGTTCTCTTTTCTTCAAAGGATCTATGCAAAGGGTTACGCTTTCGTTTAGTCCCTCTATTTTTCGTTTCTTAATCATTTTGATCTATTTTCTGTTTTTCAATGAAATTGGACCAGCTTGTCTGACTCTATGATGATAAATTGGAATTAAACGAGTGAAAAATCATACGTATAGTGAGCTGGTAGAATAATTTGCTTTGATCGTAAATGTCGTTTTTTGTGAATTTTGACTTGTTTTTTGAATTTTCCCGAAAACTCAGACCCGTTGGGCCAAATCTGATAGCAGATTCGGATTCAGCGGGAAAAAATACATGGAAATACATGGGTCTGAATACCAGATCCGATACTTTTTTTTTGTGGGACTGTGTAATAATAATAATAATAATAATAATAATATAATAATAATATTCGTATAGGTATGTTATTTGTGTATTCCTTTCATCTTTAGTCATAAAAANATTATAAATAATAAATAAGTTTATTTTACAACGTTTCTATAATAAAGTGGGTAATAAATTTTATAATGCACAAAATATATATTACAGACAAGCTGAAAACGGTGAAAAATGCACCTGCACATAAATCAGTATAAAACAAGGAAACACACAATAGTAAAATAAACAGCAGATGAGTTCAACACGGTGAAAGAACACCTGTTCGTGAACCCAGATACAATAATAAAATAATATCTACTCTTAAAAAAACAAAAAAAAAATACTAAAAGTAATATAACCCATAAAGACATATATATATATATACAGCGATGAAGCTTGCATGATCAGCAAACAAATTATCCCGTAGCTACAGCGATGAAATTTGTATGATCAGCAAACAAATCATCACGCAGCTATATCAGTATATGATTCTTTAAATCAATTAATTCTTTTATTACAATCCTGTCAGTCGTCAATAAATATTTCTTTAGTTGTGATTTGAACGTTCGGTAGGTATGCGACTTGATATTTTCAGGAAGACAATTGAAACATCTCGGGCCCAAGAATACCCAGCTACGTTGCGCCATAGTGGTATTCATTGTTGGCACCCGCAAAAATAATTTTGCAGATTGCCTCGTATGACACACACTACTTGCACGACTGTGACTAAAATGAGCCTCCAGACACACATTGAAAAAGAATATTTGTCTCAGATCTAAAACACCGCAATGGGCATATATATGTATAATTTAATACATGATTAGGAGCTAGTAAGAATGATTTAGATATTTAATTGACGTGCAATTTTTAATTTTGAATATGCAGTAAAAATCTTAGGAACTCAAAATAATATTGTAATTATTCGTATTAAATAAAAGTACAGTTTATAGATTGCGGACATAATACCAGTTTACAGGATGATACAACTTATCCGAAAAATTTTAGGAACAGATGCGGTATGAAAAATGGTGTCAATATCGTAAAAAATTATTGCAAAACCCTTACAGTTTCCGAGGAAAAAATTATTGAAGATGTAGTATTTAAAATCTTTAAATCGGGTTACTGTTAGTCTCTAGCGTTATTCGCGTTGTGCGCTGTACACAATTCGCCCTCTCCACGTAGAGAGAGTTTAGTAGGTATTATATTACTTTTTCAAGTGTCAAACATAGCTTACGTGTATAGCAACTCGGAGTTGATATGGATATTGCTTTAATTTATGGTGAAGCAAGACAACATTTGTGTTATCAACATTTGTGTTATGGCGAAGCAAGATAACATTTGTGTTATGGTGAAGCAAGACAACATTTGTGTGTAGTTCGTAGAAACTGGGTACGACGGGCCCAAATGTGTTTACAGTGGACAAAATTTTGAATAGTAATTCATTAATTAATTAAGTATTTTAATTAAGTATTTTAATTAAGTAATTAATAATAGTAGTTTGTAATATTAGGTATGTCAAATTATTTTATTAATTCGAACCACAAATTTATTTAATTAATTAATAATAACAATAGCGGCAAAAGCAGTTGAATTTGCTGATATAAAATAGGTGTTATAAAATTTTATTTATTGCTTTCCTTAAGAATGAAATTCTTTCACTTTTTTGTACGTTAAATTTTTATTACACTTTGCCGCTGTGCCGGTCTACTAACTGCATGCTTTGCCTTGCGCACGGTCAAGTAATGACGGTAATCCCACAAAATCCAAGGCGTACTACGTCCGTTTTTAGAAGTAAAATTGTAATATTTCTTAGAGGGATTTTTTTGAGAAAAAATATATTTACTCCACTGGCGCCATTTTACTAAAAATTTTTAAATAATAACGATTTTGTAGCCAAATCAGAAATTTACAAGTCTTTAATTTTTTTCATTAATTTATTGTCAATATCAAGTTGTTCATGAAGGAAATTTTTATAAAAACTTGTCATGTTATTTTAACGTCCCCTATATAAATCCGAGAAATATTCTGGGGCACCCTGTATATTTTAAAATGTAATCGTAAAATGTAAAAATACATAGCAAAAATGAAAATAATATACACTCAAACGTGTAATTCTGCACAATGTATTACGTCTGTTCAATTAATTACATTTTTTGTGTATGAAAACCATTACAAATGTATGAAAAACCTATGTGAATTTACACATTTTTTATCAGTGTAATAAGTGGGTGATTTCACTTTAAATACAGAAACTACAGGACTAGATTCATTACCAAAAAATAAGTAGAGTTTGCTCTATAAACGTTTTTCCTGCGAGACTCGGTATTCGAGAGGGTGTTAAAGTTTACAAAAAAATATATTTTTTCTGCTATATCTTCATAATGCGCTGACGGGATTGAATGAAATTTATTACAGCGTACTCGTGGCTTTAATCAGTGCCGTGCTACTGGAGGTACCGCCCCATTTTCCCAAGAAAAAAAATACGCTACTGGCGGTGTTTTGTAAAATAATGTAACATTCGGGTACTGTTACGTTAAATGAATGAAAAATGTTTCTTGGTGTTTTTTAATAGTAGCCGTTTAGGAGAAATTTGGGCTTGTTTTTTCCGTTTTATTGAATTTTCCTAATAAATTAATCTATTTATTTGATGAAAACCTCCTGGTTTTAATTAGTGACATGCTACTAAAGCGTCCTCTAACTTTTCCCAATAAAAGAATACACTACTGGCGGTTTTTTATAGAAATAATTTTATTTCTGGAAAAAACATCAAACTAAATAATAAAATAACATTAGCAAATAGGCCGAGAAAGTAACGAGTCCTACAACAATTGGTCAAAACCAAATTCTTCCGCATCGATACACTTTTGACATGTTTTAATCAGGCTATTCATAGAGGAACTTATCATGACATGATTTTCCCTGAGGAGATTACAGTTTTCCTCTATTCTTTGCCACAATTCGTCTCGTGTTCATAAGCCCAAGAAAGACTGCAGCTTCAGGAATAAATGAATAAAGCTAGTTATAATACTAAAACAATATCATCGTAAAGCTTACTAACTGACAATGCAGACAAAAGAATTCATTTTTGCAGATGGATTTTAAACAAATAATATAAATATGGGGAGTAAATTTGCGCATTATGGTCGGCAAATAAGTAAATTATCTCCTAAACGGCTGCTACTACTATTAAAAAACACCAATAAACACTTTTCATCATTTAACCTAACAGTACCTAAATTTAACATGATTTCTACAAAAAACCGCCAGTGGCGTATATTTTTCTTGGGAAAAACAGAGCGGCACCTTCAGTAGCACGCCACTGGTTAATGCCGCGTGGTTAAGATTACATTCAACAAAAGGTCAAATTAAGTGAATACGCTGTAGTAAATTTCATTCAAATCGTTCAGCGCAATATGAAGATATGACAAAAAATATATTTTTTTTTGGAAAAAAGTTTATAGAGCAAACTCTATCTATTTTTTGGCAATTAATCTATTCTTGCAGTTTCTGTATTTAAAGTGAAATCACCCTGTATAACATATCTCTAAAATATAGGAGGTGAAATTCCTTAAAACTAAAAATGTGAAGGACTTTTAATTAAAGGCCACTTTGGGAATATTATTTACATTAGGTTTTGTAATTAAAGAATTAAGAAACTTTCATAACCTGAATTCAGTTAGCAAACTTTATTACGTTAAGCTTGGGTATGGTTCTCTGCTGTGGCATGTGCAGATTTATTGATACTAATAGTACAGAGAAAGTACAGAAAAAAATTGAGATATTTGTACTTCAGAAAGTGTAATAGATCGCCGGATAATCATTTTATGCGCGGTAGAGATTTATGCCTTTGGAATGAATACATTACGTAACAGGCGTGTTATAGCCACATTAACATTCGGTTATAAAATTTGAAATGATCTGGTGCATAATTCCAGTTTAATGGCTTTGCTTCAGTTTGAGGTTTATTCTAGAAATATCGATCCCAAGAATTAATTCATTTAGGCTATTGATTATGTCTTAAAAAGCAGGGTACTACA